CTTAACTGTTTCTGAACTTTTTGCAATTCATTTTGTACCTTACTTTTGTGGTGATCCCGATGCCGAATATCGAAAGATCTTATTAAATATAAGTATTTAACATCGTCCTTGTAATACTCTTTGGTCACTTCTCCATAATTAAACGGCGAATTGTACAGTCCTCTTGTTTTAGCATACGGTTTAAGCAGACCATGCTTATGTAGTACTTTGTCCTTTGCAATGCTTACGTGTAAAACAGTATCATTTTTTGATCGATCTAACACATGTTCGAAAACCAACGAATGTACCTCTTACCTCACTCTGTAGAAAAACAACCAAAAAATAAGCCGTTTTTCTAACCTGCATTGAATTATGAATCATGACATGAAAATAAACGGTTGAAGGTCATTAAGCGATTAGCTTTCTGCAAATCTTTCAGATTTATGGTGCATTATGCAGTTTATTTTGTTGAATATGCAAGAACTAACGTGCACAAACATTCCATGGCCATTTCCACTGCTCTACTTTGTGCAGTAAGATACCCATAAGATGGTGCCAGATTCCTTGTACTGATTTTCCAATTCAATTTTTCTTTCATTCACTTTTGCTTATGTTTGTATGCATGTCTACGAGTGGCTCGATTCTTTCTTCCTCATTTCCTAGATTATTATGTTCGGCAGGTGATGTCAGTCGTGTGACAGGCGTTTAAATTGTTACCTGTAATGTATTTCCTGAATGGATTTTGTTGCCAGATAGATATGCAGTCTTAGATCAATATCATAAGCTCGACAGCTGCTTGTTTTGTATTGCAAGTCTTTCGATGGCGGTTAGATCGCGACTTCCTTTTCACAGATTCGCCGTTTCCGAGCTCAGCGTCAAAACTGAGGGCAGAGGAGCAAGTGAAGGCACATTCGACTCCCATCGTCGAACTGGAAATGTTTCACTAGCTGAAAGACACAACTCCTGTGCCGACTTCGGCATCCCTCACGACTGTTTCCAAAACGGGATGTTACTGTGGTACGAGGTGAGTAGCGACGCCATTGGCTACGCATTTAACGAGGGGTTTCATCTGTCTTACATCATTCGTTGATCCGGTTATCTTCATTCGCATCGAGACCCGGAAACATCTGGCGTATGAACTCGGATCTGACCAGATTATTAGAAAAAATATGACCTTAACCATAGTTGCCACCGTCAATTCAGTCATTACTTTAATGCACTCATAATACTCAAGGTTTCATTATCCCAGGCGGCGATAACAGGAGAGTGACTGGTCGATCCATCTGTTTTGCAATCCCATTTTCCTTTCAGTTTGTGTAGGAACTAATCTTTAAAGGTTTGTCTAGTTTTTTCGATCCTGCTGCGATCGAGCACTCTCCACGATCTGCATTCCAGTACTAAGAAGTGCCACTAAACGATTGCACCATAGTCGTCTGGTTAAAGATGGTCCTCATTTAGCTTTGCGAATGTCTCCAGGCATTCTGAATGCGTCTACAAATTTTAATAATTTTACCTATTGACATGAAGACAGTCATTTTTCGGCGAAGATTTCGAAGGCGCGAACATGCTTATACGTCGCATACGATGTTTCACCAACCATGGCGTTAGACACACAAGAGAGCCATCATCAGATCAGATACCTAATTCTTCAGAAAGGATTTTTTATTACTAAACATCACTAAGTATATGTGAATTTTATATTTCTTTTACTTTCCTTGGCTTTGTCATTCCCTGAAAGTAATTTCCATTTTTCATGAATTCCTATAAGCGCTTTCAACCACCTTTTGTCTTATTATTTTCAACGGTGAATATTCTATTTTTTACTGCTCAGTCGTTAAGTCATACTATTCATCAGAAAGAGAATATCTCAATGAATTGGATGCAGTGCATGATGGCACCAACCAATACCACCGGTTTATCATATCCAAGCAGCTACAGCATACCTTCACCGCCTCATGTGCTTC